AGCTTTATTCACGAAGTAGGTTAATACAATTGATCACAAATCGGTTTTAACAGAAGTTCATTTAGGACTACATAGCTTATAATAAACAGTTCGGACACTGAACACGTAAAAGGCTAGCGTATCAGGAAGCTATAGTAATCTGTGTATTCGGCGCCACGTGTCTCTTCCAACTGACTCTCCGGCTATCCGCCCAACAACCAACAGTTTCCGTTTACTAATTTTACAACACAAAACAAGTCCAGATATTTAAGCTTAATGAAGCATGTGGAAAATGCTTTTTCCAACAGCATTAGGAATTATACTTAGCCCCAAGAAAGTTGCGAGTCAATGTTAAAATAATACTAATTCCAGGGAACCAAAAATGATTAGGAAATATTGATTGATTTGCGAAATGCTGATTAAGATTGCGAATAATGCAAAGCAGGCCTCGATGGAATAGGAGTTTTTGGATTTGATTTTTCCAATGAAGCTGACTTTACACCATCGCTTACGATTCTCACTTTCATAGTCAGAGGACAGATTTCACGGAGAAAAAATATTTTTCATCTGATTTGATCTTGAATTATTTAGAGCGGAATCACTCCATATCATTTCGAAATAGAGATGGAATTGTAAGCAAAACTAAATTTTGAGCTCATTCGCGTTATTTGACTGAGTTGATATTTTCTTGCCGCGAACTCCCTGTGAACAAACTTGAGATCGTAATCAGGTGAGCAAAGTTTTTACTTTCTGTTATCTCTTTCTAACTTGGTATCTTTTCTTAAAGTTTATTTGACATTTTATTGGGTGTACTGTTCGTTGATACTCGATTCCATGGAGCAAATACAGCAAGTTATGATTGATATAACTCCCCTCACTCACGGATGATGTATGCATATCACTCTCCTTGCTCATATTGATGTATATCTCTATTATTACTCAGGAATTTAAAAGCAAAGAAAATACCTCAAAATTTCACCATATCTTTATAAGAGAAAACGTTTAGGAGTCCAGCTCCATCGTCAGTTCATAACACAAAATTCTGTTCAGAAAAAGTTCAGTCCTAGAAACACAAATGAATCAATTAGTAAATTAAAATGCACTGTCAGGTTTCAAAACGGAAAATAAATAAATAAGACATGAAATTAACGCTAGTAAACGGTCTATCTATTTACTATTTCAAGAGGAAAGGAGCTAAAAGCGGCATTCAGACTAGGCTTCTGTTTGAATATATACAGGGATTCTAAAATTCGTAGATCACTAACACAGGATGCGGAAGCTAGAATTTTGAAATCACTATCAGATACAGAGGTGTTGCACTGCTCGGCATGAACACGTACAGCAGAATGAGGTGGATGTGCAAGTAGGTTCCCCGTTCTATAACGCCTGCCCTTATGCTCAGCTTGTTTAAAGATGTCAATGACCTTGTCATGGGTTTTAACCGCAATTTTTTTAAATCTCTTCTTGAATTATCTGTGCTAAACTCAATTTTCGTATTTGCTGGCAAGTTTTACAGACAGATTGACGGTTTGGGCATGAGAATTCAACTCGGCCCTACCTTTGCCAATATATTCATGTGTTTTCACGAGGCTACATGGTTAGCCAATTGCCCTCTTGATTTAAAGCCAATTTTCTATAACCGATATGTTGACGATACCTTTTTGATTTTTATGCATCCCTCTCATTTGGGCCTTTTCTTTGACTATCTTAATCTCCAACATAAGTCTATCAAATTCACCATGGAGCTGGAATCAGACAATAGCTTGTCTTTCCTTGATTGCAAAGTTACCAAATCTAATGGCCGTTCCCAAACTTCTGTTTTTAGAAAATCGACATTTACCGGCTAAGCACCAGCTCTTTTAGCTTTTGCTCCTTTCGTTTCAAGTTAAATGGGGTCCAAACATTATAAACCGCGGCTTGCGCATTTGATCTACTTTGCTAGCCATGCACTCTGAAATTGAATTGTTGCGCAATATCTTTTCACAAAATGGCTTTCCATCGCACCTGGTGCTCACTCAAATTAAAAAATGTATGTCCAAGCAATATATTGCAGTCGTTCCCAAGTGTGAGAATAGGAAAGTTGTTTACTGTTATTTTCCCTACTTTGGACCCGCATCCGAGACTATGTCAAAGGAATTAAAAGTTTTATTTGCTAAATATCTTCCGGATGTAAATCTTCATGTATTGCTGGTTAACAATTTTAGAATCGGCTCGGTTTTTCAGGTATAAGGATACCCTACCTGTTCTTATGCGATCGTCACTAGTTTACAGATATAGTAGTGCGAAATGCGCATCAGCGTACGTCGGTATGACGGCAAGAAATTTCTTTACTAGGCTGACTGAGCATAAGGGCAGGAGTTAGAGAACGGGGAACCTACTTGCACATCCCCCTCATTCTGCTGTATGTGTTCATGCCGAGCAGTGCAACACATCTGTATCTGAAAGTGATTTCGAAATTTTAGCTTCTGCATCCGTTGTTAGTGATCTACGAATTTTAGAATCCCTGTATATATTCAAGCAGAAGCCTAGTCTTAATGCCGCTTTTAGCTCCTTTCCTCTTGAAATAGTAAAAAGATAGGCCGTTTACTAGCGTTAATTTCATGTCTTATTTATTTATTTTCCATTTGAAACCTGACAGTGCATTTTACTTTACTAATTGATTTATTTGTGTTTCTAGGACTGAACTTTTTCTGAACAGAATTTTGTGTTATGAACTGACGATGGAGCTGGACTCCGAAACGTTTTCTCTTATAAAGATATGGTGAATTTTTGTGGTAATTTCTTTGTTTTTAAATTTCTGGTTAACTTGCGATTCAAGGAAACAAGTGCTATTAATACTATTATTAGTCATATGTATTATCAAAGAATCGCACGTGTGATGATAACTAATATAGACTCTCATCGTGGTCAGATGATAAATGACTTGAAAAATCGATTGCTAGATGATGTAGGAAAAATTTTTCGATAATACGATCCTTGATAAAACACTGAAGTGATCTTAGCAAATGGCTGAAATTCCCATAGCTCTCAGATAAAAGCTGCAGCACATGCACGCAGCGCTGTACGTTTTGTCTAGTGCAGGGAATGGTCATCATGAAGCTGCTCAGCCTGTGTCTCTTGGTAGCCTCGGCCCTCGGTGAGTATTAAATTTAGCAAATAGATAGCACGATTCGAACCTTCAGAAATGCTCTTCATGGTCCCATTGATTGGCCTTTTACATAGGAGGGCGTGTCAAATTTTGACGGAAATCATTAAATTTTGTGTTATAGCGTACTATTTCCCAAGGCAAGAAATAGGTTTTCAGCGTTTGATCATGTTTAGAAACAGCAAAAGTAGTGGAGACATGCGGTTCGAAAGTAAGAAATATGAGAGTTTTGTTGAGAAGAAAGTATTTGAATAAGTGTTTTCGGAATCAAACCACAAAAAAATATCATCCATCAAAAAAAGCTTCACTTTTCATCAACTCTTACACTTTCTTGCGCACTTCTCTGCTGAGTTCTATTGAATTCTCTAAACATTAAAGAACAGTAATGCTAGTATGACTATAGCGCGTTAACACGCTGAAAATATTTGAGAACATCTTCCTTATAAGCGGTCATACATGTAGTCAATAATTTTCCAGCGGCTCCATCAACTATTCCACGGTTCAGAAGAGGCCACAGCAGGATAGTCGGCGGCACAGATGCTCGTCCTGGGCAGTTCCCCTTCCAGCTTAGCTTCCAGGACACAGCATTTGGTAGCAACTTCCACTTCTGCGGAGCTATCGTCTACACTCCTGATACTATGATCACCGCAGGACACTGTGTCGACGGAGAAAACTACGACAATCCTCAAAATTTGAGGGTCAGTATAAGACAACTCCAGCGTTCGTTGCTTCGAAGTTTTAATCAAACAATCTGCAGCATTGTACAGTAATCATATCTATTCTTATTATTTTCGAAAATCTGTTTTAAAGGAAATAGTCGAGGGAAATTAAAAATGTTTGAAAAGGTAATTCCCAATATATGAATTTATTTATCTTTTTTCATTTAGTTGGTTAGAAAAGATTCTAAAATTCATTAATTTACAGCTGTTACACCGCATAAGACATTGATGCCGACTTGCCAGGCTCAACAGTTCTGAATAGTCTTTCAGCGTCAACCAGCGAGTTCGAAACATCATTTTAATGAACATCGTCATTATCTTTTAAGTGAAAGGTAATTATTTCAACAGGTAAGCGAGCAGATGATGGACTCAATTCAAGAATGTCTAAGAACGGATGCTCTGAATAAATGAGCAAATAGAGAAATTTCATAAAAAAAAACACAAATTACCTGATTGGGATTTTACGCAGAAGCGGTGCTAGGCTACTGTAGTTTAATTACTTCGTCCATCCATAACTCCTCCACGTTTCAACCCACGAGATATGACTCTTGCGGTTCGGGTGCTTAGACATTTTTCATATTCAAAGGGAACTTAACTAGTTTCTAGTGCTATATAAATGCTCACTCGGTTTCCAAGTTTGTTGCTGAAGGTAACTATAGTGCCGTGAAGAGTCGTGTTCTCCGACGAAACCGTTGGGCACATCCAAAAAAGGATTATTCGGGACTTGAGAAAAGCAGTTTCGTTCGTACGGAATGACATCCTCACCCGAGTAATTTTCTATAGTTTAAGTTCATTTCTTGATATTGGCATTAATAAAATGAAATTAATCCCGAATACTACCACCATGATTGATGTAACGATTAAAATGAGTAAGGTTATGGACATTCTGCAGGCACATAACATTCAATCTATGTACTCAATAAAACTTTTTTCGCAGAATGATATAACATTTCGAAGTGGTTACAGATCGTTGCTGGTGATTACAACCTTGCTTCCGACGACGGCACCGAACAGGCGAGAGACGTCACTCAAATCATCCTGCACGAAGGCTACGACTACTCTAGTTTTGAAAACGATATCGCGTTGTTGAAAGTTGGTGTTGCTCTTACCTTTAACAAGTACGTGTCAGGAGTGACACTTCCTGCTCAGGGTCAAAGCTTCACAGGAAACGCTTTTGTGTCCGGATGGGGAACTTTGAGCTCGGGGGGCCCAACGCCCGACACCCTGCAGTACGTAAGCGTGCCCATCGTCAGCGATAACGCTTGCAGAGATAGCTATGGTGCTTTGGAAATATTCGACTCAATTGTCTGTGCTGGTGAAGCAGGCAAGGACTCCTGCCAGGGTGACTCTGGCGGTCCCATGACGTGCGGAGATTATCTCTGTGGAATTGTTTCCTGGGGACGTGGGTGTGCAGAACCTGACTATCCCGGCGTGTACACCGAAGTGTCGTACTTCGTCGACTGGATCCTCACCAACGCATAATGCCCTGAATTTAAGTATAAACTTAAATTTATACCTGTGAATAGTACGCAAGTTGTCGAAGTTTAATTCAACCTTAAATAGCTGCCGAGATGTTGAAATTTATTTTAAACTAGTCCAGGTAATAAAAGTAGGATATCAATTGTTTATATTGTTAACCCTCAATATGAGAAAAATTCCCGCACCCGCCGCGTAAACTACGATTACCTTTTTACAGTCAATCCGGAAAAAATTTGCAATTTATCCCAAAATTTGGGTATCCTCATAAAATCTACCTGAAAAAAGTTGTGTCCTGTAGAAGTGTGAATTACGTTGCTTCCAAATTTTAGTGATAATCGATTTTTCTCTCCAAAATTTGTAGATAGAGTGCGGTGAAAGGGCGGTAGCCTTGTTATGGCCACGGAATGCGTTTAATCGGGAGGTGGAGACGAATTTATTTGTAGTTTACGAAAGAGTAAAGGAATAATAGAAATTTTGAGAATATGAATTATTATCAAGCAACAACATCTTTAAGTAACGCAGGTGTTGCAAGGCAATGGAGAAGTACTAAGATGTAGGCTTTATTTATTATTAAAGAAATAAGTAATCGAAAGCGAGTAGAGGTTGGTGACTCAACTACAATTGCCACAAATTTTAAATGAAAACAGTTTCAACGTTTTTTACTCGATGAAGCCAAATTGGATGTCGGCACGATTCGTCACTAAGGTGCAAATGCACTGTGATGCACTGTACCTTATCATTTTGATGAATTTACACTCCCTCATCGACAACACTTCTGAAAAATTCTAATGTCTGCAATACAATATAAATCAACTAAACACGGTTGCAAGAAGTTTTATCCATTAATCTCTCACGATTTGATGGAGAACATTCTTACTCCTCCAAATCCACCATGTTTGTTTTCAATAATTTGAACTGGCATAATGTTTTAATTTGACAGTGCCTAAAACAAACGAAAATTATATCCCAAAACGGGAACATCACAGAGCACTTGAGTGAAAATAAGGGAAGCTCTGTCTCTAGCTGAAACACTTGAGCAGAAATGAGCAGCAGATGAAATCTTATTATGGTGGAAATTTCACTTGATATAACTCACGAAAATGGAATGACTTGCGCCTATGATACTGAAGCATGTGCATTGATTCCGTAGAAATAAATAACCCACCCAACTATAAGATCATTTCATTCTCTGCTTGGCTAATTTAGTGCAATAGGGTATAATGTAGGATTTCGCTAATAAGCTGTTAATTTTACAGCAATAATTTCGGTGGAACTCTCGGCAAAAAGGCTGCAATAAACTGACTGATTGATTTAGGATGGAAACTTGTAGTGATGATGCTTTCTTATCTCTCATCATAGAAATTTTTAAAAATCAAATAAGAAAGCGAGCATTTCCATATATGAGGATCGAGGCAGCTCAAATTGCTTAGATTATCGTCATAATTCAGTGCAATATCCTGTTTTAAAAACTTCTATTAATTTCATTCCCAGAGCTCCACATGAATGTTGAAATCAACGAATCACCAAAGCCACTATGTATTGTGTTAAAATAATAAATTCGATAATTTATATGAGCGATAACTTGATTTCTCTTTCATCCAGAAATAAGTTATGGCAAAAAATATTCATTTCACAGATAATTTCCTTTCAAATGCAGTGCAGCTATATTATCCATTACGATTTTTCATCTTTAGATTAGTAGCCAATTTATTATAGGCGTGAGTCTAATTAGTGAGATGAAAAATTATTTGGTTAAAGTGAAATGAATATCATAGCTGATTTCGGCTTTCTGATATTATGATATTATTCATATGTAATACTAGCATTATAACTCAAATCCATCTTACTTACTGTAGAAAAGGAAAAAAAATTCAAAGTGTCAAAATTCAACACCTCAGCAGGAGGCTCCGCTATCAATATAGTCAAAGTCATCAGCTTAACCTCATGCTGCAAATTCTCAACATGCCTTCGATATGTGTTCCTCGACTGAGAGGAGTCTTCCTGTGGCATGATGAAAAAATAATTCGATTATATACGACCCCAGTACATTATCAATATCATTCGATTATATACGACCTTAATACGGCATCAATGGCCTAATACGGCATCAGTGGCGTGTTAGTCAATATTAAAGGAGAAGTTAATTTTCATTCATTACAACAACCGTGCACTCTTCTATCCCTCGTTCAGTCCTATTCAATTCTCGATCTCAGGTTCGAGCAACGCTTGTCTGAGAAACGCAGGCCTGATGCCAAAAAAAGTCGTGTGATGGAATTGAGTTCAAATATTTTTACCTTACCAGCATTATAACAGAAAGCTGAAATTGTCTGTGACAATACTTTCATGTGGATATCAATAAATAATTTTACTCATTCATCTCAAATCAATTTGTTATCAATGTAATCGATGAATGAGTTGGAAAATTCTAGTTGGACAACCTAATTGAACTCTCATTTTATTATTTTCTTCGTTGTGGCATTAGATGACGAACACATATTAAAGAGCGTTGATAATATAGTAGCGAGAAGTTTCTAATTGTAAATTATAACAACATTTCATCCCAATGATTTTACTTCTATTAGTGCCTCTGTCGCCTGTTCAGATCTCAAACTTTCGCTATTTTTAGTCTCTTTTTTTTAAATAGAAAAAGTGATGGAAATGAGTTAAAGTTTTTAGATCGTCCGGTTTTGCGATAATTCAGTTCTGTATGAGAAGTTTAAACTATTCTTCGCATTAATTATCGAATAAATATTATTATCGCAATACCTAGTGGCTTCTCGCTGTAAACTAATGCATTTTGGTGGTGCGCTCCGAATATAGTGATCTGAAATTTTTTAATGCAGGATATTAGACTGGTTTATGCCGATGATCTAAATTTATTTCGCTGCTCCCACCTTCATTTACTACAATACTCGTCAATATTTTTCCGACAATAAATACATGAGTTTAATATTTTCTATGATATGAAATTAGAAAATCTCACCTGTCTAATATCAGGAATATCAAAATTAATAAATCCGTTCTAAATTCTGTGCATTCATAAATTCTACATTATTGCCTGCTAGACACTGAATTTGCAAACAAATTACGCATGTATTAAATAATCATGTCAAGCGGAGATCATTGTTCTTAAAGTCTACGGTGTTCTAAAAATGAATTTCAATATCTCGAGCGCCAATCATCACATTCTTGACTATTATTGAAAGTAAAAATTTGCATTCAATATTTTTGGCAATGCGAGTTTCTAATAATGTCTTTAATTATGTGGCCTTGTCTTTAATAATTTCTTTAATTTTGTTTGCACGCTCATGGGCTCTGGAGTTTCCGTTTCGAAGCATCAGTTACTCATGTTGATGAATTATTTTAGAAACATTCATACACCTGACGAAATATTCAACCATTCGTAACCAGTACCCAGCTTTATAAAGATATTGGCTGTTTTTACGGTTGGATATGAAAAAGTAGTGAAAGTTTCTACCAATCATGCAACATTCGTGGAGACAACCTTGTACAACGGTCATAAGTTCATTTATTCAGTGTGGTAGACGTAGAATTTTTCAAAAATTCATGGGTAAATTCTTTCAACCGTTGAATTTGCCTCCAGTAGAACAGTTAAGTTAAATTAAACTTGCATAAACTCTGACAATTTTGGTATTAAGAGAGAGCTTCACTCAACCGACGCTTGCCCTTCATGCAGGCAGCTCTGAGAGTTAGACTAATTCACTAATTTCCTCCCGGCCCGTCAAAAGTGAACCTGAATGCATCCTATACAAACAAATATACTTGATGGTTAAGCAGTTACCTGTTGGAAAGCAAGATTGAGGATCGTTGTGAATAAGTTAAGATCATGAACAGAGTCGTCCTGATGTCAAAGCTGTGGAGATTTTAGGCACCTCAGCACTAGGTTCAATGTTGTTGATTAATCACTCTACATAAGCAATGCAAGTTGAGAGCATCTATGTTTAAGTATTGAACCAACAGTTGAAACACCAGCCAATCACATGGAGGATACGGTCGTGATGTGCGCTCAGCCATTTAATTTGCTAAAAATTGGGGATCCGTGCCCCGTGAACGAGCCTACTGACTTTAAGAGTCGAAGATAATTTTTGTTTTAAACTTCACATCAAATAAGGATACTTAATAGCAGCAATGGTGTATAATAAATTTATTAACGGACAATACATTCATTATGCATCATACAATGCAATAAATTCATAATAGAATTACAATAACGGGCAAACAAGCCATCGGTTGATTTTATAAAATATACCAAAAAATCGAATCCAACTGCTTTGATAAATTAAATATGAATAAGAGGAACTGACGGTTGCCAGGACCAGAATAAACGCGTCCCTTTCTTGTCCAATTGAATGTAATATGCAGAATTTCATAATTGTTTATAATTGATAGACATGAAGTTCGGATCGCTTGATTGATTTTAAACCTTCGTTCCATGAATGAAATATTTTAGTATTGAGACTGTATAGGCATTCTAGGTATAGGTATTCTAGGTATAGGTATAGGTAAGTTCCTGTTTTGAATGCATTGAACTCAAAGTCAACAGGCAATTTAAACACTATTTTTCCGTATAAAAGTGATATAATGCGGGGAATAATTGTCTCCTATCAGTAATTCTTGCGTAACTTCAATGATTGTTTCACTCTCACGGCGTCCGGGAAAGTTAGTATATAGTCCCATGTAGCGCATGGTTCACATTGCCGTCTAATGCAGCCGCGACTGCATCAGTCCGAACAAATTGCTTTGTTGGAAAATAAGAACCATTTAATTGCTCCAGATTCAAACATATAATTGTGCACTATTCACCCGCATTCATGACCAAAGTTATGATTTTTCTGGTTAGGATTATAAGTTAATTAGATCGACGAAGTCGAAGTTAAAAGTTAATCGATCGACGGCTTGCTGAATTGTCCAAACTAAAACTAGCCGACAAATTGAAGTCTGAATTAATAAATGGATCTTTATCTTCATTGATTATCTTGACAGGTCAGCGGCTCATAGATCCGTTTTCTTTATAATACAGAGATAACACATAAAATAAATAAATACAGATGACAGTATATTTATATTTTAAAATAATTAGTTCGTGAACTTTGAGTAGAAACCGATAGAACAAGCTAATCCAGATAACGCTAGGCAACTGTTGAAATTCATCACCATGCACCATTTGGGTCACAATCACAATTTTTGATGGCCTTATGTTGAAATACTTCTGTATAAATTTGGAACAGAGTTTCTTTTGGAACGCGTTTCTTTTAAATTCATGTACATCTTATGGCCGAAGAAATGTTAGCTTGGTGTCAGCAAAAACGTAGTTTAATATCGTATTTTGTCCGAAAATTTATTTATTTTTGTCAATACTCTAGCTTCTAATTCCTCTTCGATGAGATTGAATTCCATTTTTCAAAATGAACTATTAGGCTATGAATAACTCAACATATTTATAATTTATCAAAGGTTACAATTTTTACAAAATATCCGTGTAAACAATGGCTAATTTAATGGCGACTGGCGGAGTTCTTCCTCCTTACAGTTACTGGGCTAGTTACTGAAGTGTGCGGTTCAGATGTGCCGTGTCTACGATCATTGAAATCAACCGGCTTACTTTTCTCCATCTTACAGTCAAAGATCACTGCAAAACTGTGGCTATTCATCATCATTATTATTAACGCCGAGTTCTTAGCTCCAACAGTTTATAGAATTAACATATTCAATGTTAAAATTGAAGCCAACAACTTTTGAAAAATTTGTTTTTATGATCTCTATATTTGATTTTTATGTTCTTATCAGTTGCATAGAAGTTTGATACAGGGAAATTTAAAATAGATCCCAAATATTTAATTAACGTCCGCTTTTCCCCGTTAACCCATTAACGCCGACAATTCCCTGCGGATTATTAAAACACTTTTTTTCAATTTAACTGATTTATTTAGGTACCTTCTAAAGTATTGTGAAGAAGAAATTTAACTTTTTTTATTATTACTCGAAATATAGACTTGTAGCGGTAGCTGCTGCGGCCCCCGCTGTCTTACATACTAATTATTACCAGACGCTCATCTTTTGAAAAAGAGAATTTATTTCAAATGTTTTACCTACAGAAGGTCACGTTAGCGTAAATTGGTTAAGCCATGTTCAATATTAATTAATCTAACTGTTATTAAAGGTTGCTATTTCTTTGCATATTCCAACCAACTCACTAAGTAAAATTGCTGACTATTGGAGTGAAGATATCCAGATTCATCGACCAACGCCATTTGAATATAAAATACATGGGTCAGATACCAAAAAAGTTGATTTTATATTAGTGACGAAATGAATAATTATTAATTTCGAGAAGAAAGAGGGACGGCTGGTAAAAAATTTTTATCTACCCGTGAAAATTTAACATTTCTTTGCACAATGAATATTTACTTAAGTTATTTGTCAAAAAATCCTTCCGCACAGCACTGGCAGGTTGGTTAAGAGTGGCTCTACTTGTGACTTGTCAATTTTTCCATCGGCACGGAGCGTAGATGCGACCGTCTCACCGATAGCTGCCAAGTGGAAGTCGCCTGCAGTGAAGACGCAGCCAATCACAGGGGAGTTGTCGGGCCAGTAAAAGGTGCCGTTGTGGTGAGTTTGATAGGCGCTCAGCCAGGCCATCCGTAATCCCAAACATTGATATGTTCCATGGTCTGAAAATAAACCCCACAAAATTAGGAACAATTAGTTCATAAAATTTCTCCAAGTATTCATATTCTATTGTCTGTCAATAATACCTAGAAAACTTTGAGCGAGTTCTTTTATTTCACTGTAAATTAGGATAGAACGAGATAGAACGATTTATTCAATTCTAATATTTTTTCATCCACTTCGATTGCTTGATGATATTTATTTCTACGAAAATGAACGATGTGAAGGATTTCTACATATTAGGCAATTTAAAAATTGAGATAGTGGAGACCATTTATTTTTTTAGCTTCTCAATCGCTGCCTTGAGATCAGGGTGAATGCGAATGGACGTCTTCACACGAAGCTTCGGCCCCTTCCCTCTAATTATATCGATGCATTAGTACCGGCAATATATTTTCAGTACTACTCGTTTACTACTGCGAAGTTGCTTATATTTGGCACTAGCTAGTGAAATTGCCTGGAATTGATAACCCATGTGAATCGATAATAACGAAATCCCGTATACTTTCAAAACAAACAAATCCCGTATGCTTTCAAAACAAACCCCGATTTCAGAATCTGGTGACTCCTAACCCCGTAAATTTAGTTCCATCACCCAAAATCGGTCATCCAAAATACGTTGATAATTAACTTGTAAATGAAATAACTGAAGTATGCTAATTCATGGGAGACATCGTCAAACTCTTATTCAACATTGACCCAAACTGAGCTTGGCTGAACCAATATTTTAACTTTATCCGAACATAGTGCTAACATTGTCCGAAGTTTGGCTGAACTTTATCCGTTTTGTCCTGAATTTGTCCCGACGTTCAAATTATTATCCCAATTCCAGTCATTCTGATTTCAGTTAATAACTTCTCCCCTCCCCGTTACGCAATGTCCTACTATTCTCCTACTACGGATAAAGTTCACAATCGGGCAAAATCCCGACATTATAAATTATGTGGGTAAATGCACAAACCTCCCCTGTATATTTCCAGGGAGGGCATACCATTGTTATCATATCAACAATTCATAGAACAAACCAGAGACGAGCTGCCTAGCTTCTCGAAGCAGTTGCTTGGTGTTGATGATGAGCGGAACCCCGCCTTCTGCACCGCACATCTTCTTCAGGTTGTCGGGAGATCCGTTGCTCGTTGTGCCTTCGGTGATGAACGCTTCTCGAATAACTGCAAACAAGGATCAGTCAGTATACGAAAAAGATACATGAAGCCTCTAGTAACACAATTAATGCTAACATTCTTTCAACAATACTTGCACAAGCAGTAATAGCGCCATCACTAATTCTTCGTAAAACAAATTATTATTCGTCAACGGAGGATATTTATGCCACGATACTTATTGGCTTTGGGGCACGTTAAGTTCAAAATTTTGGATCCGCGTTGAGAATATTGTGACTTGAAGTTTTTAACTGCAGGAAATTACACTGATTTTTTCCGATGATCCAATCATTTTGCTTTTCTGAAATACATATATAACCACTAATTAAGAACTGGTATCAACCAACCCCAACAAAGAAGTATACATCGCATAAGTTGACAAATAAACAATAGATTTATTTAAAGAGCTATATTCATGATCATCTATAACATTAATCGATTATGAAGGTCAAAACAAAATAAACAGACATAAACTTAACACGTACCTCCGTGGTAAGCAAAGAATAAGTACATCGCAATGAATAAGTACATCGCTTATATCCACATAACAATGAATTAGTACAATAAGTAATGAATAAGTACATCGCATACCTCCACATAACAATGAATAAGTACAGTAATGAATTAATGAACGAATAAGTACAGTAACCTCGTGAAGGTATGAATAAATCATACCTCCACGAGGTTACGTCAAAAGAGACTTAAAACAGTAATTCAGAAATGCCTAACTTTTAATATAACTGATTAATGCTGATAATCCAACCATCAAGATGCTCCAATCTTCATTTATGTCAATAATTTTCTTCCGGTTCATGTGAGAACCACCGTGAGCTGAACTTTGGCTGATCGCATGTTTATATGGCAGACTGAATAATATGAAATTGTCGTTGTCAAGATGTAAATTCGTAGAAGATATTAAGTTATTATTTTGCGTATAAGGATATTTCAATTGATATTACTATTTCTAAACCGTACATGCTGGAATAAATTTATCAAGAGATTTTTACAATCACTATTTTATTTAAAGTAGCGCAATGGGTGTGTATAAATTATTTGTTCGTCTGATGCTCAGAAAACAGATTTTGATCAATAAGATGTTATTCGGTTAAATTTGAATTGATTAAATATTATCAACAACGAGCGTCTTTTATTTTCATTCTAGCTTAAATATTTATTTCATATTATTTATACAAGCGATAATTTTGACCTCTCTTTTGTCCATAAAGAGTTATCGTCAAACAGTGCAATTTAGTTATCCGAATACAGTGCCGATTTATCAAAGGCTTGAGCTGCGTGGCAAAAATGATCAATTAATTAATTTTATATTTGCGATGAAAGGAAATGAACGAATTGCTCGAGTAAGGAGAAATTTCGAGTTAAATTTCCGCAATTTTTTGCTGAGCACAAAATTCATTAAAAAATATACTGGTACAAATTAACACGACTAGATTTATGCTCTGTGAAACACGACCAGGAAACTCGAGTATAAATGAACAGTTATTGATGAAAATTTATTGTGGAAAATTTTACTTTGTATGAGGCTCGAAAATGGAAAATTTTGCACCCGAGATGCTTGAATCTGTGTTTCAAACTCCGGAGAGATCTGTGGTTTACAAATTGAGATCCGGAGAGATCTGTGGTTTACAAATTGAGATCCGGAGAGATCTGTGGTTTACAAATTGAAATCAGCTTCATGTAGCTTCACGTCATGTTGCTTAGCTTCATTCTTAGCTTCATGTAGCTTCACGTCATGTTGCTTAGCTTCATTTTTAGCTTTTTCCTTGGCTTTTTGTAAGGCAGGCTGGGACTTGCGACGGCTATGTTCAGTTCTTCGTATCTTCTGTACAGGAACATCAGAGTCTGATGATGAACTGCTGCCTTTGTTCTTGTTTAGTGAACATTTTCTTGAACGTTTACGTCTTGAAGAACGCTTACGTTTTCTACAACATTTCTCGTTTTCGTTTTCATCTGATGAATCTCCACTGACATTCATTTTGTTGATATCATCAACTACCAGAACCTGTGAACCTTCATTGATATTCATAACCTCAGGCTCAAATTCTTCAGTGTCTTTAATAACCTTATCAACACCGTTATTGTTGTTGTTGATGTGGTTGTTCACGTGCATCTTTATTGCGGTTTGTTTACATTTCAAGTATTGCATGAACACGCGCAGCACAGGGAACGCGGGATTGGCTACTTGTAAGCCAATCAGGAAGCTGCAGAGCGTGACGTCATCAATTACAGCGCACGTGATTGGCCAGGTGACGTCACCACCAGTCACGTGACACGTCCTATACACGTCCGTGACACGTCCATGACACGTCCTATACACGTCCGTGACACGTCCATGACACGTGAAGGATAATTCAGGATCCGCGGTGAAGGATCTCGGGGTTTCCAGACCGGAGGATTCCAGGGATTCTGGCAGACACAACTGCGGAATAAATGTATATTAATATGTATAAATATATACTGAACTGATATATATACCTACATGCTAGTATACTAAGCGGATATAAGTGACGAAAAAAATAAATTTTAAAGGATATTATAAGAACAAGAGGCGAAACTGGGATTTATATCAATATTTAACAAATAAAACATTCTTTAAGAAAATATCTGAATCAATATTTAGTGAACAAAATATTATTAGAGAAGAGATTTTTATCTATATATTAATATCAATAGTAAGATTTTAAAAAGCAAAAGACTAAACAAGAGATGTAGATTACATATCTAACAAACATTAACAACGAACTATCAACATTAAGGGGACAAACCAGAAAAATAACAAAAAATCTATATTATATATATAGGAAATCTATATTACATATTTAGTAAATCTAGAATATATATTTAGTAAACAAACAAGAGACCAGCAACTACAATAGATCCCAGTATACTGGGGCGCATACAGTACTATATCTCATGTACAGCTACTGTAGCTGTACTTACTGTGGCAGTATGCGCAGTGCTGCCACTAGATGCAGTACACTGCAGTACATGTACTGTAGCAGTACTTACTGTGCCAGTATGTGCAGTGGTGCCACTTTCAGATGCGGTAATGTTTGGGTCTGGACCAAGTTAGATGGCGCTGTGAGAATTTGGCGGCCAGAAGTTTTCAATTTCATGGGACATCACCAATCTTTGAAAATGCCTTTAATTATAATTCTACCATGGTCGTCTGCTCAGATGCGGTAATGTTTAGGTCTGTACGAAGTTTGATTGCGCGTTGAGAATTGGGTGGCTAGAAGCCTCAACAATCCATGCTTATGATTTTAAATCTTTTTATGATATTGCCGGCTGCTTAAAAATTGAATTTTGGCTTTTTGCGTTCATTATTTTTCCATTGTAGGTATGATGGAATAAATTTCTAATATTTTTAAAGGAGTTTTATCAAAATACTAAACTCAGCTCTGATCTTTCTTTAATTTACAAAATAATATAATAATTTTACCTATTTAATGCTGGTCCTATATATATATATTTATTAGTATAGGTTGGCAGAATTTCTTCTTTCAAGCAGGTTTCATTGAAGAACAGAGAATTTGTTTTATTCGCAATTTGCTTATTAGTTTTTTCAATATATCGAACAATATTTTTAGTGTGAACTGGCAAATCGAAAATCAGGTTGCCGATGGACATTTTTATTTCGTTAACGACGTTTCGAATGTTTCTATCATTCATTATCAAGTTAAAAGGCGCATTGAGCGATGAAATTAGCGTCGACATAAGTACAAAATCAAGTAAATAGGATACTACTCAAAAATCAAAATTGTTAGGAATAATTACAAAATCACAAAATAATTTAGAATCAAAGCACCGAAAATCACTCCGAAAACAGTCTCAAGGTTCTGAAAAATCCAGTAGTTTGAAGGTTGATGGCTGGGGTCCTATCCTTAATGATGAGGGCCTCAGCTATCATGAGTCGGTTGGCGTCGGGGCATCTCATGACGACGCTGGTGCATTCTTCCAGCACCGTACAAGTGATGGTCTCGTTGTGGGCCTCCATCAGGTGGTTCTTTGGTCCACCAGACCAAACACGTCGTGATATCACGACGTGTTTGGCACGTGAGACGTCGGCTTAATGTCGTAGTTGTGAGCCCTATGTAGTCCATATTGGGGAGAAGTCTACAACCTTCTCTATTGCAAGAAAATTTATAGACTACATTGGTCTCTTGGAAAACTCCCGTTTTTTTGCAGGGGTTATTGTTCATTACACGATTCTGTATTTTCTTGTTTTGTAATAAATAAGTAGATTAATTTTATTATTAGTTACGTTCACGATGTTGTTGTGAACGATAGAATGAAGGATCCGTTCATTTGCTTTATCGTCGCTGGTCATTTGGTTCTCATAGTAGATGGTTGTGACGTTTGCGTCAGTCTCTGGTTCATGGTTGCGTCTGTTTTGGTTCGATCGAAGTTTTGAAATTTCCTTGCCAATTGTTCTATTTGCAAATCCATTATTGACTAAGGTTCTTTTGCAATTTTTCAGCTCCGTATTCAAATCATTTTCTGAGGAGCAGGTTTTGAGTGCTCGTTGGATGAGAGCACTTATTGCGCTTCAGTAATAGCGCAATATGATAGTAGCTCACACTGACAAAACTAAGTTGATGCTTTTTACTCCTAGGCCCGTTTCCGTCCTTCGTGATATAACCTTTTATGGCGCAATTTTACAATGGGTCGACGAATTTAGATATCTTGGTTTAATCCTCGACAACAAGATTTCCTTCAATAAGCACATCAACTACGTCTGTCAGTGGCTGAGTAAAGCCCACGGAGTTTTGCGTGCATTGTCGAGCGTCCTACCTTTTACTTCGTTAAAAACTTTTTTCTACGCATTGTCTGTTTCTAAACTAGCAAACACTTTGGTAATCTGGGGGGTGTACCTTTTAATACAAAGAAGAGGGTCATTACGCTAGTTAATAAATCATTGCGTTCCATGCTTAGGGTTAAGTATGATGTCAACAATATTCCTTTGACTCGCACTAGCGTATTATATAAGCTGTCTAAATTCTTGAAACTCGACGATATGTATAAATTTGAGCTTTTAAAATTCATGCATAGGGCACTTTTCCATGATGATCGTTTTTTTGAGTCTGCCTTCGCCTCTCTCGTCCCTCAACATTCCCATAATACCAGGGGCGTAGGATTTAACTTGCCAGCGGTTCGTCTGGAGGTAGAAAAAAGCGGTACTGTTTNTCATTTGAAAAAATCATTCATTCTGAATAATTATACCTGCATTGTTGATAAATCGGTTAGTAATCTGAAAAAGAATGTCGTTGGAAATTCTAAATGGATATCTAATTATACTGTTATTGAAGTAAAATAATTAATTTTACGATTAGTTTTGTAATTGCGAATTTCTGGATGAAAAAAATCTAAACATCGCTTGCGTAAATTTCTTTGAATTAAATCTAGTAGATTTAATTAAATATACATCCACATGAGGCTGATGTCAGCCTCAGCACACACCTAGCGAGCTGATGTTAGCCTCAGCACACACCTAGCATGCTGATGTCAGCCACAGCACACACCTAGCATGCTGATGTCAGCCTCAGCACACACCTAGCATGCTGATGTCAGCCTCAGCACACACCGAGCGAGCTGATGTCAGCCTCAGCACACACCTAGCATGCTGATGTCAGGCACAGCACACACCTAGCGTGCTGATGTCAGGCCACAGCCTGTCTCTTATACACATCTAGATGTGTATAAGAGACAGGTNTTTGTTGGGTCCCTCCTTTCCCTCCTTTTTGCTGGGTCCCTCCTTTCCCTCCTTTTTGTTGGGTCCCTCCTTTCCCTCCTTTTTGTTGGGTCCTTTCTTTCCCTCCTCCTCCACTTCCACTCTTATATCCTCTTCACTCTCTTGTTCTTCGCTTTCATCGGACGAAATACGCGACTCCTTAGTATTTTTTTGCCTCGTAGAGCCAATCTTCGATTTAGGATTGGCTTTTTCCCTTCTTTGTTTCGACAGCTGACTGCGTTTCTGTGGCTTGCTGCCGACAGTTTTGACTTTGCCAGCGTCAGTGTTGCCTTTGCCGGCGTCGGTTTTGCCTTTACCGGCGTCAGTTTTGCCTTTGCTGGCGCTAGTTTCGCCTTTGCTTGCGTCAGTTTCGCCTTTGCTTGCGTCAGTTCGCAGTTTATCGACGTCAGTTTTGCCTTTGCTGACGTCAGCCGTAGATTTTTGCTGGCGTTGCTGGAACATAGCGGCGATGGGGTTGAGTTTAGGAGCGCGGGGCGGGGAGGCAGCTGCCTGCTGGGCGGCCAGCAGCTCGTGTGACTGCGCTGATGTCAGGAACAGCTTCTGTAATGTCAGCCACCAGTGAGAACCATGAATAATTATTATAACTTTAATAATACCACACCACAATACTATTATTCAACTAGACCATAACCAACCACATCCGAGTCTGTCGGAATGACTGGGACTGAGCCTACTAGACCATAACCATAATCATGAATAATTATTATTACTTTAATAATACCAAAATAACCACCATTATTCAACTAGAGTTACTAGACCATAACAGCTTCTGCAATGTCAGCCACCAGTGAGAATCATGAATAGTTATTATTATAGCTTTAAAATTATTGCGATTACAGCTATTATTATTATTACTAGTCAGGAACAGCTTCTGCAATGAGACCATGAGAACCATGAATAATTATTATAACTTTGATAACACAACAATACTATTATTCAACTAGATCATAATCACAGTTGAGCAATGTCAGCCACGAGTGAGAATAATGAATAATTATTATAACTTTATTAACACCACAATAACAACTATTACTATTACTGCTATTGTTTGTTTGAATAACTATCAACAACTAAAATAACATGAAAAATACGCCAAAATAAGTATTAATAGTTGTTGAAAAGATGTATAGTATTGAAAAATATTGTTCCTAATAATACTATCTGCGTTTAGCAATCATCAGACCCTGGGTCTCTAAACCACACCTGGTCTGTCGGAACGACTGGGACTGAGTCTGCTAGACCATAACCACACCTGGTCTGTCGGAATGACTGGGACTGAGTCTGCTAGACCATAACCACACCTGAGTCTGTCGGAATGACTGGGACTGAGTCTGCTAGACCATAACCACACCTGAGTCTGTCGGAATGACTGGGACTGAGTCTGCTAGACCATAACCACACCTGAGTCTGTCGGAATGACTGGGACTGAGTCTGCTAGACCATAACCACACCTGAGTCTGTCGGAATGACTGGGACTGAGTCTGCTAGACCATAACCACACCTGAGTCTGTCGGAATGACTGGGACTGAGTCTGCTAGACCATAACCACACCTGAGTCTGTCGGAATGACTGGGACTGAGTCTGCTAGACCATAACCACACCTGAGTCTGTCGGAATGACTGGGACTGAGTCTGCTAGACCATAACCACACCTGAGTCTGTCGGAATGACTGGGACTGAGTCTGCTAGACCATAACCACACCTGAGTCTGTCGGAATGACTGGGACTGAGTCTGCTAGACCATAACCACACCTGAGTCTGTCGGAATGACTGGGACTGAGTCTGCTAGACCATAACCACACCTGAGTCTGTCGGAATGACTGGGACTGAGTCTGCTAGACCATAACCACACCTGAGTCTGTCGGAATGACTGGGACTGAGTCTGCTAGACCATAACCACACCTGAGTCTGTCGGAATGACTGGGACTGAGTCTGCTAGACCATAACCACACCTGAGTCTGTCGGAATGACTGGGACTGAGTCTGCTAGACCATAACCACACCTGAGTCTGTCGGAATGACTGGGACTGAGTCTGCTAGACCATAACCACACCTGAGTCTGTCNATCACACCTCATGTCACCATCACACCTCATGTCACCATCACACCACATGTCACCATCACACCACATGTCACCATCACACCACATGTCACCATCACACCTCATGCCACCATCACCCCTTATGTCACCATCACACCTCATGTCACCATCACCCCTCATGTCACCACCACATGCCACCATCACACCACATGTCACCATCACCTTATACCCCAGCTCCTTGGCAAGGGCGTAGATCATAGAGGTTTTCCCGCAGCCCGTGGGTCCCGTCAACAAGACGGTGTTGCCACACGCAGGTCTGCCGGTGTTGCCATACGCCGAGTCGTCGCTGTCGGCGGAGCAGTCCGAGGCCCAGTCGGCATCCGCGGCCAGTCTGGCCACGCGCCTCGGTGTGAGCGGATGTGCGCTGCTCCGCGCCGCCGCCTTCTTGACTGGGGTGCCGGGTGCCAGCTGCTGCAGCGCACATTTGTGCTTCCATTTCTCGAGCCAGAGACGCAAGTCTGATACTATGCCTGCACAATACCTTGCTGTTACTGTCAAAATGAATGATAAAGTAAACTATTTTAAATATCTTTTATAATAAATATGAATCTTGTTAGCAAGAGAGCATATGCACCTGATAAAGAGCCGTACATGAGTGAGTGAACTACAACTGATAAAATGGCAAGTGAACATACAACTGATAAAATGGTCAATATTTCATTGTTTAAAATACCAATGAAGAGAGCATAGTCTTAAGTATAATGCACATTGAATGTACTGTTCTAAATAAGAGGGGGAGACATGAGAGGCGGGAGACATGAGAGGCGGGAGAGTGGGAGACATGAGAGGCGGGAGAGTGGGAGACATGAGAGGCAGAAGTGTGGGAGACATGAGGGGCGGGAGAGTGGGAGACATGGGAGGCAGTAAAGTGGGAGGCAGTAGAGTGGGAGGCAGTAGAGTGGGAGAGGCAGTAGAGTGGGAGAGGCAGTAGAGTGGGAGAGGCAGTAGAGTGGGAGAGGCAGTAGAGCGGGAGAGGCAGTAGAGTGTGAGAGGCAGTAGAGTGTGAGAGGCAGTAGAGTGTGAGAGGCAGTAGAGTGGGAGGCAGCAGAGTGGGAGGTAGTAGAGTGGGAGGTAGTAGAGTGGGAGGCAGTAGAGTGGGAGGTAGTAGAGTGGGAGGCAGTAGAGTGGGAGGTAGTAGAGTGGGAGGTACTAGAGTGGGAGGCAGAAGAGTGAGAGACATGAGAGGCACTAGAGTGGGGGGCAGAAGAGTGAGAGACATGAGAGGCACTAGAGTGGGAGGCAGTAGAGTGGAAGGCAGTAGAGTGGGAGGTAATAGAGTTGGAGGCAGTAGAGTGGGCCCCACCTTCGTTCCCCATGACATGTTCAGCAGCCGTGGGAGCGAACATGTCAGACCAGGTGCAGTCAACATGAGCGCTACATAGCCCAGCAACATGCCTCCTCTGTTCATCATCTTGTTTTAGAATTACAGCTTCATGTTGTTTAGCTTCTTTCTTAGCTTCACGTAGCTTTACGTCATGTTGCTTTGCTTCATTTTCAACTTCATGTTGCTTAGGTTCTTTCTTAGCTTCATGTAGCTTCACGTCATGTTGCTTCTCGTCATGTAGCTTAGCTTCATTTTTAGCTTTTTCCTTGGCTTTTCGTAATGAAGGCTGGGACTTGCGACGGCTATGTTCAGTTCTTCGTATCTTCTGTACAGGAACATCTGAGTCTGATGATGAACTGCTGCCTTTGTTCTTGTTTAGTGAACATTTTCTTGAACGTTTACGTCTTGAAGAACGTTTACGTTTTATACAGCATTTCTCGTTTTCGTTTTCATCTGATGAATCTTCAGTGATATTCCTTTTGTTGATATCATCAAGGACCAGAACTTGTGAACCTTCATTGATATTTATAACCTCAGGCTCAAATTCTTCAGTGTCTTTAATAACCTTATCAACAACGATTTTGTTGACATTGTTGTTGTTGATGTGGTTGTTCACGTGCATCTTTATTGCGGTTTGTTTACATTGCAAGTATTGCATGAACACGCGCAGCACAGGTAACGCGGGATTGGCTACTTGTAAGCCTATCAGGAAGCTGCAGAGCGTGACGTCATCAATTACAGCGCACGTGATTGGCCAGATGACGTCGTGACCAGTCACGTGACACGTCCTATACACGTCCGTGACACGTCCATGACACGTGAAGGATATTCCAGGATCCGCGGTGAAGGATCCCGGGATTTCCAGTCCGGAGGAATCCAGGGATTCTGGTAGGCACAACTGCGGAATAAATGTATATTAATGTATACACATATATAATGAAATGATATATATGCTAATATACTGCACAGATATAAGCGAAGTCTAAATCCATTTTGAAGGATATTATAAGAAGAAGAGGTGAAAGTGTGAATTATATTAATATTTAACAAATAAAACATTCTTCAAGAAAATATCTGAATCAATATTTAGTGAACAAAATATTATTAGAGAAGAGATTTTTATCTATATATTAGTATCAATAGTAATATTTTAAAAAGCAAAAGACTAAACTAGAGATGTAGATTATATATCTAACAAACATTAATAACAAACTGAGACGTCTACTGGACAGGTGTCATGGCATTGCTGAGATACAGAGACGTCTACTGGACAGGTGTACACCGTTATTGTTGTTGTTGATGTGGTTGTTCACGTGCATCTTTATTGCGGTTTGTTTACATTTCAAGTATTGCATGAACACGCGCAGCACAGGGAACGCGGGATTGGCTACTTGTAAGCCAATCAGGAAGCTGCAGAGCGTGACGTCATCAATTACAGCGCACGTGATTGGCCAGGTGACGTCATCAGCAGTCACGTGACACGTCCTATACACGTCCGTGACACGTCCATGACACGTGAAGGATATTCCAGGATCTGCAGTGAAGGATCTCGGGGTTTCCAGTCCGGAGGATTCCAGGGATTCTGGCAGGCACAACTGCGGAATAAATGTATATTAACATGTATAAATATATACTGAACTGATATATATACATGCTGGTATACTGAACTGATGTATATACATGCTGGTATACTGAGCGGATATAAGTGACGAAAAAAAATAAATTTTAAAGGATATTATAAGAACAAGAGGTGAAACTGGGAATTATATCAATATTTAACAAATAAAACATTCTTTAAGAAAATATCTGAATCAATATTTAGTGAACAAAATATTATTAGAGAAGAGATTTTTATCAATATATAAATATCAATATCAAGATTTTAAAAAGCAAGAGACTAAACAAGAGATGTAGATTATATATGTAACAAACATTAACAACGAACTATCAACATTAAGGGGACAAACCAGCAAAATAACAAGAAAACTATATTATATATATAGTAAATCTATAATATATATTTAGTAAACAAACAAGAGACCAGCAACTACAATAGATCCCAGTATACTGGGGCGCATACAGTACTATATCTCAGGTAGTACAGCTACTGTAGCTGTACTTACTGTGCCAGTATGTGCAGTGGTGCCACTAGATGCAGTGCACTGCAGTACATGTACTGTAGCAGTACTTACTGTGCCAGTATGTGCAGTGGTGCCAGTAGATGCAGTACACTGCAGCACATGTACTGTAGCAGTAACCGGCCAGTAGTCTTCAGCCCTGTAAGTATCACATATATATTGTCTCTTTACAAACGTAAACATTTAAAAACAAACTACACATCATGTCAATAACATATATTGTCATGTTAAACATTAAATAGTTATACATGTGGTCACATTAATGATATTGAATAATATTTAGCCAGTAGGACAAGATATGATGATAAGATTTTCATCACCAAAAAGTGAAAAATAAATTCATTAATAGAAGCAAATCGGGTTTAAAAAATGTATTATAGAACAAATTATTCCATTCTATCCCACACTATATATCCTCCAATATAATGCCATATATCCTACCATCTCACGCCATATATTTTTTTCACTATAAGGCCCTATATCCTATCATCTTATATTAAACGAATGATCAGCTATCAGAGGGGTTGATAAGGACAAGCTAGTTCATCTCAACATATTGTCCACACCCAATAATTCATTTCTTTGATTATATTGTATAAATAAATACATATTTCTGCATAAAATAAATTAATAGTCACTTCTGTATCCATTATTTAGATCAGAGCACTGACCAAGCTTGTTGTCTCGGTAGCGATGGTGTTTCATTGTAGAGAACCTCCACATCATCATCACCATCACCATCAGCAGCATCAGCATCATCATGTTGTTGTTTGGCTGCAGAAGGAAAAACTATTAGCAATGATAGTGATAGCGGCACATCATTGTCATATCATCAGCACTGTACCATCATCACAACAGCATCATGTCAGCACCACACATACAGCGCCACAAATACAGCACCACACACACAGCACCACACATACAGCACCACACATACAGCACCACACAAACAGCACCACACATACAGCACCACACATACAGCACCACACATACAGCACTAAACTCACCACCAAGTTGCTGGTGCAGCACCCTGCTTGTGCTGGCTGGTAGCCTGCCGTTGGTGTCCCTGCCTCCACAGGGCACCTTATCTCCTGCCGTAGGAATGCGGGGTTTCTTCGGAGTCGGTTCCTCATCTCCCTCAAAGTAGTTCACTCGAGAGGAACAAGCTCTCCGACGCTTGCCGGTCCTTGTGCCATCGTCTTCTGTAATGGATAAAATGTTTAGCAAGCAGCAACATTGTTTTGATCATGTCTATATAAATATGAAAATTATATTCACACGAAAACAGTATTCACTCATTATCATTTTCATTAACACGAAAATATATTCCCTCAAAAATATATTCACTCGAAAATATATTCACTAAAAAATAGTACGGTATTCACTCATTGTCATTTTCATTCACTCAAAAATAGTACGGTATTCACTCATTGTCATTTTCATTCACACAAAAATATATTCACTAAAAAATAATGAAAATATATTCAATTCAGGCAAAAAATATATTCACTTGAGAGGAACAAGCTCTCCGTCGCTTACCGGTCCTTGTGCCATCGTCTTCTGTAGCTGATGAAACGTGTTCAACTTCTGCCAACTCTACATGTGATTTCTTCAGTCTTGTTGATGCAGTTGACTTGTTTTCTACAGAATCAATCAAGGAATGGTCTTCAGTTGATAACAGTTTATCTGATGATTTCTTGGAGCTACATGAATATTTCAATGCTTTATTTTCTTCAGTTGATTCCTTTACATTGTTTTTCCGAGATGTAAAAATACTTGCAAGAGATTTCTGCGCAGATTTATACTTGATTTCTTCACAAAATTCTGAGGAGGATTCATCTGAAGGTAGAGTTCTGTTGATTGATTTGGAATTCCTGAATTTTCTTGAATGAATTTGCTGAATTTCAGAAGCTTCTGGACTGGACATGAGAGTTTCATTTCTCGTACATACTCTAGACTTGCTCTGCCTTGCTGGTGAGGGTCCTGTAGATCCTGTAGATCCTACAGGTCCTTTAGATCCTTTAGATCCTGTAGGTCCTTTAGATCCTGTAGATCCCACAGGTCCTTTAGATCCTGTAGGTCCTTCAGATCCTGTAGATCCCACAGGTCCTTAGATCCTTTAGGTCCTTTAGATCCTGTAGATCCCACAGGTCCTTTAGATCCTGTAGGTCCTTCAGATCCTGTAGATCCCACAGGTCCTTTAGATCCTGTAGGTCCTTTAGATCCTGTAGATCCCACAGGTCCTTTAGATCCTGTAAATCCTACAGGTCCTTTAGATCCAGCCTCAGAAACACATTCTTGAGATCCTTTCTTCTGCGGTGCAGTTGAGGGAAAGTTGATCTTGGATTGAACATTCTTGGAGAACTGGCTTGATAATTTAGACGGGCTTGTAATTATAATGTTCTCTATTTCTTTAGTGACAGTAACATCATCTCCAAGTTCACTGGCTTGGTCTATGCTTTGTAAGCTCCCAGCAACATATTCATCCAAAGCAATTGTTCCGCTGAAAATATTTTTCTTGCACCTAGGAGCAGATGTAGACTTCTTGTTAGTAGCTGGGGACTGACAGACTCTGCCAGACCGCAAGGATTTCTTCAAGCTTTTCTTTGTGGATTTCTTAGCAGATTTCTTGGTGGATTTCTTAGCAGATCTTCTGTTGGGTTCAGGATTATACTCAGTATCAGACGTAGCACTGGGATTGAGGTCTCTATACTCGCCTACAATGTTATCTATTCCATTAACAACATCATTATAGTTCATAGCTTTCTTTGCACTGTGGGCAAGCCTTTGGCTTCTCAATGGTGAAGTAACACTATCGGTGATTGAAATATTGTTGTCACTATCTTTGATGATTGAGGACTTGTCATTCTTTGGTACTGCTGATTCTCTCTCATGAACTGAGGAAGAAGAGTCTATTAATTTTTCTTCAGTGATAGAATCATTGGATTTAGAAACTATTCTTAGTGTTGAACCCTTTAATGGAAGCAAAGATGTTTCCTGAGAAACACTTCTTGTTTCACTATCATCTGTGATAGCATCATTATTAGCACATAATGATTGCTTGCAAGCATTCCTTGTTTCAGTATCATCCAGAAATTCATCATTATCAGCAGGTAAGTTTTTGCCCTTGGCCGTAACAATAAAAAATTTACCTAAACTGCCATTTGTTTTACATGTTTTCTTCTGCTTGCGTTTAACTATTTTGGACTTTTTCTTTTTACCTTTTTTATCAAATTCATCATCTTCACTGGAGGCAATTTCACTAGCATCATTATAATCACCATCAGCAGTATCATCCATATGACTGGCATCACTATCATTGCTGGCATCAGTATCAACATTTTTTACGTCATTGTCTCCAGTGTTTGCATCATGATCAGCACTGTTCACATCATTTTCATCATTGTTTGCATCATTATCAGCACTGTTCACATCATTTTCATCATTGTTTGCATCATTATCAGCACTGTTGGCATCAGTATCATCATTGTTCACATCATTATTAGCATTGCCGGCATCATTATCATCATTGTTCACATCATTATCAGCATTGCCAGCATCATTATCATCATTGTTCACATCATTATCAGCACTGTTTACATCATTTTCATCATTGTTCACATCATTATCAGCACTGTTCACATCATTATCAACATTTTCTGCATCATTATCAGCAGTGTTTGCATCATTATCAGCACTGTTGCCATCATTTTCATCATTGTTTACATCATTATCAGCACTGTTGCCATCATTATCAACATGACTGCAGTGAGATAAAGCACACATGCTAATGCTATCATCAAGTTCATCATTGGTATGTAATGCAGCAAGTTTGTCATCAGTGTTGAGCAAGACTTCAACATCAACAGCAACCAGTTCATCACTGGTGTGGGGGAGAGAGTGGGCGGCCTTCTCACCTGTCTTCTGCAGCCTGCAATGATAAAACTTGTCAATTTTATTGATTATTTTGAAAAATTATTTATTAAAATTTTAAATTATTAAAATTATCAAAAATGATCAATTGTCAATTAAAATCATTATTTAAAAAAGTTTTTTATTAATAAATTAAAATTATATTGATAAAACATATCATTTACTGATATCATATTACTGATACCAATTTAATGATAATTCACTAATACCTTCCACTGATTTTGTGTATCTAAGAGGCATAGCATAGACAATCTAACAAAAGTATTGCACATTTTAACTTTAATTATTCATGTACACAAGTTCTTTTGCGTAAATTAAACACTTAGTAATATCAAGTGATCATTTTAAATATTCCCAGATAGATTAACTAAAAATTCAACATGATCACAAGAGATATAAATACAATTACAGTCAAATAGATGATAAGAATTGTAGTTCTTATCATCTACCAAAAAACTTGCCTGAGTTTGGACGTCACAGGCTGGTCGTGGTGAAGGGAGGATGCGGACGGCAGAGAAACGTTGTCGTGTAACACATCATCCACACGGCGGGTGTTGTATAACACATCTTCCACATGGCTGTTGTGTAACACATCTTCCACACGGGTGTCGCGTAACACATCTTCCACACGGCTATCGTGTAACATGTCTTCCACACGGTGGGTGCCATATGACATCTTCCACACGACTGTCGTATAAAACATCTTCCACATGGCGGGTGTCGTGTAACACATCTTCCACACGGCGGGTGTCGTATAACACATCGTCCACACGGCGGGTGTCGTGTAACACATCTTCCACACGGCGGGTGTCGTGTAACACGGCTGGTGTCCAGCGCATCAGTAGTAGAATCAATACTTTTCTTCTCGACACACAACGTAGATGTATGCAGCTCTGAATCTTCAATATGTTTTGAGTTTACTTCTGTATCTTCACAACCCTCGGCACCAACAATTTTCTTGTTCTTGGTAATACTTTGGGATACATTAGATTGCATTTTTTGTTCAGTGTTAAGAATTAATGAAGTTTGGTCAAGTAATACATTATTCAACTGAGCTTGTACCTCACTCAAGTTTGTGCAGAGAACTGAATCAACAAATTCTATTTTATCAAGATCATCTACAGCCAAGTTGGTGACGGGTGAAGTAAACTTGCAGTTTGTCTGATCCTTAGACTTAGGACAGCATTTACTGTTCAATTTGTCTACTTTTCCAGAGCTTTTATCAACAGATTTTTGTACAAGTGGAGAGTGAACATCAGCAACAACTGTCAATACACTCTTGTTGCGCTTACTGTCCAGTTCAGACTGAGTTATTTTCTTGAAAAAGTTGTTAATTTTTTTTTTCTGGGCAGGGAAGCTACTAGATTTATCAAGGTCCTGATCTATATTGTGCCAATCCATATCATTCTTTGCCAGTGACTTGCTAGCAACATCGTTACTGTCACATGCTGCATCATTCAGGGTTCTTAGACTGGTTAGTTCTTCATTTGACTGGGCATTCTCATGCACTCCAGTCGATTTCTTCTGATCACGTTTGGCTTTTCTTTTTTTCTTTGAAATTTTAGCTGCTTGAACAAACTTTAATGGCCCATTGACTTTATTTTCATTATATTTTTTTGAGAGTTTGCACATTTTCAAGGCAAGTTCATCCAAAGTCTGTTCATCATCACAGNGAAATTTTAGCTGCTTGAACAAACTTTAATGGCCCATTGACTTTATTTTCATTATATTTTTTTGAGAGTTTGCACATTTTCAAGGCAAGTTCATCCAAAGTCTGTTCATCATCACAGCTTCCTGTGACTGCAGGCCGGCTGCGCTTGTGCTTCTTTGTGAGCACGTGCATTCTGTTAGTCAGTTCATCCAGGTCACCATCACTGGTATCACCATCCTCCACTCCACCACCACCCACTACATCATCACCCTCTATATCACCACCCTTTACTCCAACATCCATTGTTTCATCCTTCACTTCATCACCCTCCACCTTATCACCCTTCACTTCATCACCCTTCACTTCATCACTCTCCTCTTCACCACCCTTCACTTCACCATCCTTCACATCACCACCCTTCACATCACCATCCTTCACTTCACCACTCTTCACATCACCACCCTTCAAATCACCATCCTTCAAATCACCACCCTTCAAATCACCACCCTTCAAATCACCACCCTCTACATCACCACCCTCCACATCACCATCACCCCCTGTCCGAGGACACAAAGTCTCGTTATCAACATTCCTAACAACTGTTTGGTTTGCATTGGATGTATTAGCCAAGTCTCTTTCTTTATCATTATTGATTTTTCTTGAATGCACAAAAATGTCTGCAATATCAATAGATTCTTTTGATATTTCATTCTCATCGTGAATTTGTACCTCCTCATTTTCACTGTCATTTCTTACTTGTCTTTCTTCATCAGTAGTCAAATTCAAATCTCTATTTGTAGTCTTTTTTGTTGGCTGTTTACAATCAGTTTTGTTAACATTCATTTTCTTGAACTTAATAGTAAACTTCCTATTACTGGACTTCATAGAGAGCTTTTTTGACTGCAACGTATTGTCAAGTTCATCATCCGAGTAGAATATTTCTATCTCACTCTCTTCTGAGTTGTCTGTCATCTTGTCCTGACAATTTTGTGCCAATTTCCTGTCCTGACAATTTTGTGCTGATTTCTTGTCCTGACAATTTTGTGCCAATTTCTTGTCCTGACAATTTTGTGTAAAGAGGGCTAGCTAAAATGTCTCAAAAGCTAAAGAGGGCTAGCTAAAATGTCTCAAAAGCTAAAGAGGGCTAGCTAAAATGTCTCAAAAGCTAAGGGGGGCTAGCTAAAATGTCTCAAAAGCTAAGGGGGCTAGCTTAAATGTCTCAAAGGCTAAGGGGGGCTAGCTAAACTATCTCAAAATTAGTTAGCTCAGATCATAGTCTCTTGCTGGCATGAGTGGATGTTTGTAATCCTCTTTTGAGCCTCCTGGATTTGTTCATTTATTGAGGCATCAACTGTTTTTTACAACACTTCTCTTTAACTTCACTTCTTGTCTGTCTGTCTGTCTGCTACAAATCTTGTAATCGTAATTTAACACACTTCTACTTATCCTATCGATCTGAAATTTTGCACACTTGTATAAAGTTGGAGACAATGCATGAATCAAATGTTAAAATAAATGCTTTTAAAAAGTAAAAAAAAAAATTTTTTTCAATATTAAAAAAATTGAAAAAATAATTTTGTCAGCTACAAATCTTATAACTGATATTTGACACACTTTTACATGTCTAATTGATCTGAAATTTTGCACACTTGTGTGAAGTCAGAGGCAATGCATGAATCAATTAATAGAATAAATAATTTGGAAAAAAATTTATATATTAAAATTTTTTATATATATTATAAAAATTGAAAAGTAAATTTCTTTAATTTTCGAAAATTAGATGAGAAATTCATTGTACATCTGCAAGATTGGAGATACTGGATTCTTTGGAAGTGTTGTCTTTAAAAAGTAATTTTTAAACGTATATTATTTCTACTTATATTAGAAGTACCAAGTCTAAAAAAAGTAACGAGTCTAAATAAGGACTAGGCATCTTAATAAGTCCTCCCATTACCCTGCACAACACCTGCAATGTAAAACTCATTGTAAGACTCCAGCCTGATGGTCGTAGTCTTAGCCATTTATCAGCTTGTTCCTATGCAATAATGTTAATGTCACCACCCTGAAACTGTCTTCAAGTCAAAGGAGACAAGTAGTAATGTACAATATATTCAGGAAGAACCCAGACATCACATTATTTATTTTAGACTATTTAGATTATTAGACCATTTTTGGATTATTTATTTTAGACTCTTCCTAATGAGTCTAAAATAAATAATAGAGTTATTTTAGACTCTTCCTAAAGTTAATTTTTCCTATAAGTAGACCAGCAAAGTATCATTGATACCAGCATTACCCTATCATACATAAGAAATTGGTTTAACTCTTGAGTAAATGAGGAAATTAAAATGAACTTATTCTAAATAATCTGTGGTTTGTCACTATGCCTGACAACAGCACTGTAATATTGCCTTCCGACAAAGTGCTGGCCAAACATAGAATTTTCCCTCTTCACATCTTAGTCTATTAAAATACATGGAATTTAGTGTTATTTAGAAAAAATTTATGTATTTAGAAAAGTAATACTAAGAAAAGTAATACTTCAGAGAGGCAAGATTATTAGTATTCATAGAAATGATAACATATCTTAACACATTGACGCTCGATTACGTCTATAGACGTCATGCCAGTTTGGTCCAAATGCACACCCCCATCATGCTTTATTTATAATCAGAAAAAATAGTCTGCAACCAAGTCATCACTCAACGTGTCTACTACAAGGTTGTAATATGAATGGAGGAAAAACACCGCGCACCTGGCACATCTTCCTGACCATGAGACGTGTCTACTACAAGGTTGTAATATGAATGGAGGAAAAACAATCAAGTTGTTTTGCCAGCAAGATATAGATGAAGACATTCAGGAAATACTGCAATGGAATAATTACAGAAAAAGATAAGCATTTACATGGACAATTATCAATTAAAGTTGAATCTGAGGATGCTATACAATTTAGGTATACTGCACCAAAATAGTATCAATAATATGATTACATATATACCGTCAACCGGGGCTACTATTTGATTAATAATCAAAACCATTAATGAAAACTGATGGTGTTCCAGGTGTTGTTGGTTGTAAACTTGTAAATCGGTGATATCAATATCATCTGAATTCTGAAAGATAAGTCTATGGTCTGTCATGTATTTTTGCTTTATTTGAGCAATTATGGTTTCCAAATCTGGGTGCGTTATGTTATGTTACTCATGTATACTTTGAATGTGAAAAATTATAACTATAATATAAAAGCTGTTAGCCTACGTAGGTTATCATAGCACAAATTGCAATAGACTGAATAGAGTAGCGGTAGCGGGTAGCCTAGTATCAAGATTGCAGTATGAAATAAAATTCAACTTCACAGTTCACACTTACTGATGATCAGACCATCTCGTCAATAACATCTATGAAATCGTCACACAATTCATTGTACATACTCGCGCACACGGGATTTTGACTACAGAGATGCAACTAGCAGCGAGGACTGAGGAGTTTACATCCTCTCCATCAAACTGTATGTATGTATGTATGTAGTCCGTTTTGAGGTTGCATAAATGTCCCTCGACAGGGCACTTGTTGCACCTGGATTTATCAAATGGTTTTCAATCATTCAGTGGGTTACTTAATTTGAAGTATATTGTTCCAGGACAGTCTTGATCAGCTTTCAGAGATTATTCAGGCGTCCAGTACTCTTGATGTATTCAACCGTAGCTTTTACAATGGCAAACTGGGTGTTCCGTGGGAAGTCTCCTCCGCCCAGCAGGTCTCGCACTGTGAGGGGGCTAACCCCGTAGGGGTCCACAGCATTTTCAAGTATTCTTCGGGCTTCCAGGTGTAGTCCACAATGTAGAAGGAAGTGTTCAATGGTGTCCTCCACGTTGCAGTAGTCACACATTGGAGAGGGTGACATACCAAATCGGTACAGATATGCACCCAGGCCTGCATGGCCCAGGCGGAGACGGGCCAGGCTGACAGCAGCCCTACGAGTCGGAGCAACCACCCATGGGACAGGGGACAGTTTGCTGCGTATTGTGGTCAAGTGCACGCCCTTCCCTGTTGCCCTTACATTGGTCACCCAGGATTCCAACCAGCGCTCATGCAGTCCCCTTCGCAGGCAGCTCAGACGGTCTGATTGCTCAACATGTGAGAGTACACTGAAGTCAAGTGAGTGGCCCAGCTGCGCAACCTTGTCAGCCACCTCATTGCCATGAATACCAGCATGGCCTTTTACCCACTGCAGAGTAACAGTCAACCCAGGTGCTGAGTGCAGGGCCAGCAAGTGCTCTCGGATCTTATATACGATGAGTGTGCAAGAGGGGCTTGGGGTTTCAATGAGTTGCAGTGCTGACCTAGAGTCAGAGCACACCACCCACCATGCCGGTGCCTTCTCAGAGATGATGACAAGTGCCTGCAAGATAGCATATAGCTCAGCAAAAAGTACGCTATGCATTGGATGGAGGCGCCAGGCAACAGCCCGAGATTCATCTGGTATAAATACTCCACAGGCTGTAGATGAGCCATCTCCTAGCCGGGAGCCATCGCAAAATACTTTTCGGTGGTGAGGATAGTTTTCCTTCATGTGTACCCTGAAGGAGTACGCAAGATCAACACCTCCAGGCAGCTGTGGGTTCTTACAGCATTCTGGTTGTATAGGAGACCAGGGGGGGATTGGGTCAACCTGTGCCAGATAGAGGCGTCTGCATTTCGGTTGCTCAAATATCTGCAATAGTCGTGCTCCGTCCGCTAGGGCAGTTGTGCTGTCCTCAGGCACTTGGCTTAGTCTTTCTGCTGTGTAGTCATTTCTAGGTCTATGTAAGATCTGTCTCTTATACACATCTAGATGTGTATAAGAGACAGCTGTAGATCCGTTAGGTCCTTTAGATCCTACAGGTCCTTTAGATCCTACAGGTCCTTTAGATCCTGTAGATCCTACAGGTCCTTTAGATCCTACAGGTCCTTTAGATCCTGTAGATCCTTTAGATCCTGTAGATCCTACAGGTCCTTTAGATCCTGTAGGTCCTTTAGCTCCTGTAGGTCCTTTAGATCCTGTAGATCCAGCCTCAGAAACACATTCTTGAGATCCTTTCTTCTGCGGTGCAGTTGATGGAAAGTTGATCTTGGACTGAACATTCTTGGAGAACTGGCTTGATAATTTAGACGGGCTTGCAATTATAATATTCTCTATTTCTTTAGTGACAGTAATGTCATCTCCAAGTTCACTACACCCGGCAACATATTCATCCAAAGCAATTGTTCCGCTGAAAATATTTTTCTTGCACCTAGGAGCAGATGTAGACTTCTTGTTAGTAGCTGGGGACTGACAGACTCTGCCAGACCGCAAGGATTTCTTCAAGCTTTTCTTTGTGGATTTCTTAGCAGATTTCTTGGTGGATTTCTTAGCAGATCTTCTGTTGGGTTCAGGATTATACTCAGTATCAGACGTAGCACTGGGATTGAGGTCTCTATACTCGCCTACAATGTTATCTATTCCATTAACAACATCATTATAGTTCATAGCTTTCTTGGCGCTGCGTGCAAGCCTTTGGCTTCTCAATGGTGAAATAACACTATCGGTGATTGAAATATTGTTGTCACTATCCTTGATGATTGAGGACTTGTCATCCTTTGGTACTGCTGATTCTCTCTCATGAACTGAGCAAGAAGAGTCTATTAATTTTTCTGCAGTGATAGAATCATTGCCATTATTGTGATGTTCTGAGAACTTTTCCTTTTGGGAATCGTCATCCGATTTAGAAACAATTCTTAGTGTTTCCTTTAATGGAAGCAAGGATGTTTGCTGAGAAACACTTCTTGTTTCACTATCATCTGTGATAGCATCATTATTAGCACATAATGATTGCTTGCAAGCATTCCTTGTTTCAGTATCATCCAGAAATTCATCATTATCAGCAGATAAGTTTTTGCCCTTGGCCATAACAATAAAAAATTTGCCTAAACTGCCATTTGTTTTACAT